TGTGTGTGTGTGTGTGTGTGTGTGTGTGTGCTGTGGGGTGTGTGTGTGTGTGTGTGTGTGTGTGTGTGTGTGTGTGTGTGTGTGTGTGTGTGTGTGTGTCTCTTCACTGCAGATGGTGAGGCACGCCCTTTCTCTCCCGGATCATCTCAGTGAATAGCCGGCCGCACAGAGCTGAAAGGATCTCAGCTCAGCTGATAAATAAAACCCTCTTCCCTCCGCACAGTGTGGGAGAAAGTGCCACTGCGGTGCTGGTGTGGCATCTTTGTAGGCTGATAACTGAAGTGAAAGCAGCGTTTGAGCGATCATCTTTCACCTGGAGCCACTCACCTTTCAGGACGTGGCCCCAGAGCCGGCTGTCAGGGCAGGTCTGTCAGTGGGAGCAGAAAGAGATTCTCACAACCGGCAGAGCAGCACAGATGCAAGCAGCCTTCCTTACGAGACTGGAGATTTATCCACAAGGGAAAAGACATGTTATTTTTTGGGTGACCTTCATGCAGGTCTAAGACTTTTTCATTGACTTTTATCTTTGCTTTAGCTGGTGCCCAGTGGGGCTGTGTGTGGTGTTGACTCTTCATCTTTATGATTTTTCATCACTGGGCGAGTGTGTCTGAGTGGCTGGGAGAGCCAGCATGGCCAAGCCTCTGCTGAAGATACAGCGCTACTTCCGCAGGAAACCTGTGCGATTCTTCTCCCTCATCCTCCTCTACCTGACCGCCGGGAGCCTCGTTTTTTTGCACGCTGGCTTCGTCGGGGACAACGGTCCCGGAGCCCGAGGAGCCCGAGACTCTCTTATAGCTTCGGAGATGGGCAGCTGGGCTTCATCGGACACTCGGGGACTTGGCCTCATGAGTAGGGTGTTTAAGGAAAAACGGAGAAGTGGACGGAGGTTCGGTCCCCCTTGGATGAAGAAAACTAGACAGGAGGGCCTTGGGATGGTGGGCAGGGGGCGAGACTACACCAGCAACTGGAACCGCGCGCTGAAAGGACGCAATGCCAAAGACCTGGATGATGGAAGAGGTGGGTGAAAACCGCTGTTGCAGTTGTGCACTTTTTTTTAGCTGGGGAGTTTTCCAAATAAACCATCTGAGCCACAACCTTTAGTTTCTTTTACATCTCAAAGCAAGTTAGCAAATGTCTCTTTTAAGCAGTTTTAAACAATATGGTTCAGTGGTTAGTCCTGTCCAGGGTGAACGCCGAGTCATGCATTATGTCAGCTGGGAGAGGCTCCATTTGTCATATATGGTACGCTGTTATCGCACTTTTCATTTAACTGCTTCATTTTAAACTCTTTTCAATATGTTGCATGAGAAAAATGCTAAATTGGCAACATAGCAGCAGCAGTGGTGCAAATGCTGAACTTTTTATTGCAGGCCCATTCATAATGGAAGCTCACTGGCATACTCACAAGCTGCTTTTGTCCCACTTTGTGCTAAAATGAAAGAGATCCCAAAAATTACAAACTGCTGCATCTTAATGACTCGACGCTACTAGCTGTAATTGGTCATGTGGGAGATCTCCTCAGAGTGGAGTGAGATGATAATTATAATTATGTCTTTTCTCCGGAATAAATCCTTTAAGGATCTCCCCGTCTCTGTGCTTCAGCTGTAGCTCCTTCACATGTTCTGCACATGCTCACATTTTGACTGATATGACAACAACCAGACGATTAGACGATTGTGGGATTAACCCCTTTATCTGGCTCATGTGCACAATCCCGTCTTAAAAGGTTTACATGTAAACTCAGTGCCAGCTTATTAAATCATAATGTGTTATGGAAACACTGGTGTAAGGCTGGCATGTGTCTACCTGCAGCTGACATCTCTGAGCTTGAACAGGACAAAGATCTTTTAAAATGAAACATGGACAAATTTGCTCCTGGCTCTGTTTTCTCTTCCTCCTCTCTGATTTTCGTATCGTGTCTATCACTTTCTTTGCTCTCGGATGAAGCACAAACATTTGAAAACGAAGTCAACAGTTCACATTTCTGCCATATGCATTTATTAAGTAAAAAACGACCCCTGTGTTGCTCCTATCTTCATGGCGAAACACAAGAGAAAACTATAAACTAGTTAAGTCCTTAAGAAAAAAGTAGTAACACCATTTTTTTCCCTCTTATGTTAACATGTAACATTTTACCCACAGTCGTTAGATAAGTGCAAGAAACTCAAAGAGCAACAGCGCCACGGAGGAAGAATACAAAACAGCATGAGTTCGAAACACTCGGGTGCCACTACTGAAAGCTAGAAACATTTTGCTCATCAATGGGAGTCCAGACACAGAAATATCACAATTTCACTGGTGAAATGTGAAGAGGCTTTACTCTCTCTGTGGCATGTTTTCAGCATCCGTGCCTCAATTACACTTCACAGCTCATCTCGTGTTACTACACTTTTGAACTCTTATTTAAATAAAAGGAATCTATATGGCAGTGAGAAGGTTTGTTAATGGGGAAAAAAGCACCTTTATGATGGAAATGCACGGTAGACTTGGAAATTAGAAGGTTAAGTCTCCTCAGAGTCGAGTGGAATTAAAGTTCAACTACCTGCTGTACAGGTGGGAACTTTTTTTACCTTTTATTTTGTATTTCAAAATATTATTCCTTTCGTGTTAAACCTGTAAAGCAGATTAATTGTCAGGTGACTTTTTGAGTGGTGCTTAAAAAAGAAATAATATTCCCATATCGTTCAGCCAGCGAGAAATCCTCAGTCCGGCTGTGATAATCATCTGCTTCACGCACTGGCAGGGAGATAACTTCACTGGGAATGAGCACATGCTATCTGGCTGTTTCTATTTAATCATCTATAAAATCCTAAAATAGACACTTGAAAAAAGCGTAAATAAACAGACAGATTTTGTTTAAACTACCTTTTAGTGATGTTGGTTCCTGTTTTTTTTTCTCCAGAGAAGCTGTACAGCCAGGTGGGAGAGCTAAACTGCCATAAAGATGAAACATAAGTGTGAGGGACTGCTGCTCCATCTGTGCTATGTGTGCTATGACAACAGCAGAGTTCCCTCCTGATTTTTAACTCTGGGAAAGACTCCCAACATCTGTAAGCGTGAAGCGGGTCATAATCCCTGAGTCACAGCACAGTAACCTGCTGTGAATTCAAATTTAGACTATAAAACAATGCACAAGCGGTAATAACCTTTTTTTTTTTTAGCTCCCTCTGCATTCAGAGGGAGCAAAGCAAACATGTTTACAATGTACACTCAGCCACCCCACGCCTCCACCCCCACGCCGCCCTTTTCTGAAACTCTGAAACCTCACGGGATTGCAGCCAAACGTGATGATAGAGTAATTAATAACCTCAAAGCTATCTTTTGCCCTCGTGCATCCAGCGCCACTCATTAATATGTAGTGTTTAAGAGCCTTTTGTCTTCCAAAGGTGGCTGTGTTTGGGTTAAGAGTTTTTCTCCCCTTCTCTTTTTACTCCAAATGTACTAATTCACCTTGGCTCCAAATTTAATTTGAAGGGAATATTGCGATAAGATGCAGACCACGGCGCATAAGCACATTTTTGCTGTGTGGGCCAATTGCACAGATGTATGCTGCACAAATAGACAACAGGAGTAGGCTGGAGAAAGGATATACTCGCAGCACTATGGAAAATGTGATTCACCAGCTGCAATGAGGTCATTTCAGAAGATGCTAAAATGATTGAAAACAATAATTGTATCAGTTGCATCTGCCGTTTCATCCTTTACCTTCGTGTAATGCGAAGCAGAAGTGTGCTATTCAAAACAAGAGATGCTGTTTCATCAAATCTGCATTTGCCTCCATCAAAAAGCAGATTATTTTCCAGCTCAACAATAGGTAGATTACCATCCGCTGCAGTGCACAACATGCTGCTCAAATGCAGGCCTGTAGACCAGCACAATTAAGATAATGCAGGGGACTCTATGCTTTTCCCCCATTTAGTTATTAACAGAGGTTTAAAGGGGTGATGGCAGAGCACAGATGGTGAGAGGTTTGCTGGTAGGGTCTGTGTAGCCCGGTTAAACACGAGAACGTTGTTCTAATGAGAGGCAAGAAGCTGTTAGAGGGTCATTGTATGCCTCTGCAGAGGTTCACTAGAGCCCAGCCCCCACACACTTCTGAAAAATGCAGAGACATGACTGCCACTACAGTTACAGGCCACTAGAAGGGGATATCTGTCTTTATAAATAAATAAAGCTTCTGCCCCAGTTTGGACTCCCATGTGCGATGTCACCACAGCGTGACGCTGTGTGTGAGGACTCTAATGTGGATAAAATTCACCTCTGACACTTCTGACAAAGGGTTTTGATTGCTCTGTATGAGCTGTTAGGTTAGAAATGTAATCTTATGTACATATAAGTTATGTTTTCTCTGCACACACGACCAACTGTGTTTTCTTTCCTTTTTCAGCAAAGTACATCGGCTGCTACATTGATGACACTCAGAAAAGAGCTCTGAGAGGAGTTTCCTTTTTTGACTACAAAAAAATGACTGTATTTCGTTGCCAGGACAACTGTGCAGAAAGGTATGACAGTAGCAAACAACAAAAAAATCATCCATTAGGCAAGTTAACCTTCTTTTTTTTGCTTTTGATTCCTACTGAGAAATAAAAAAAAAACCCTCCACTACAAAAGAGCTGAAGGGGAGATAAAAAACCTGCAGGAGATCAAAAGGTACTTTCCCATCGTAACTGAGCTAAAAAAGCAAAAAATAAATAAATGAAAGAGAGAGAAAAGCTCACGAGGAAAGATGCACAGTAGACCAAGCAAGATGACCTCCAGGCCCATTTGTGGCTGCACACAGGCTCCCAATCGTATCACATTTTTATATCACATATAACAAATCCTTCACAGTTTTTGAGTTCAAGAGTTCATTCTTGACTCAACGTGACAGAATACGTTTGCTTATGGTGTGAAAATGTTTGAAAATGCTCTTGGAATAGGCTAAAGTATGAGCCAGTGCTCCACCACAGACCACATGATATTTTAGGCATCCAAGTCCTCCCAACTTTGGATCTGCAGTTTCAAAAATACCCTTTTTCTATTTAATTGTGGTCATGGCACACAAACAACTTGCTGGAAGAACTTAACTGGACTGCCCCTTCCTCGGCCTCCGTTCAGCTATGGCCACATTAATCTGTTACTGCGGCCCAGGGCAAAATGAGCTAACCGGACCATTAACCTCCCTGTTTGTGTACGTGAATAGTTTTCCTGTGCTTGAGTAGAACATTGAACACAACGTACAAAACGAAATGACACAAGCGACGTGATAAAGACTTTAAAACTAGATTTTGACACGGCCTCTTCAGGCCTCTGAGATTATGCAGTGCTCAGCTTTTACTGTGTTTTAGTTCTGCATATTATAAAGAAATGTGATTGTTTTGTTGAAACACTGAACTGCGGTTTTGAGTCACGCTGGCGTTGGTTTATAATTAAAGCCCATTCATTAAAAAACAAACAAAACAAAAAGCCTCAGGCCGTTTATTAAATTACATTTGCATTTATATCATGTTTTATAAGGTAAAAAAATGTTATAATGCAAGTATTCTTTCGCTGATTGCCAAAAAAATTCTGTTTTGTTTTAGGGTTTTTTTGCACTGCCACAGTTTTCATGTAGTAAAAATACGCGCTCCAGTTTTCAAGCCATTCATCTCCCCCACTTCTCCTCCATTTGTTTCCCATTATCCTCTCATCCCATCTCACTCTCCGCGATACCTCACCATCCTTCTCTCACCTCTTTTTTTTCCCTCCTCCCTCCCTGTGGAGTACCAGGGACGGCTCTATCGAATGCACTGAATTACACCCATGACTGATTCACAGAGCAGAGAATAGGAGCAGAGAGAGATGCCTGTTTTCAGCTCCTTCTCCTATTAGTTCTTGCCTCTTGCAGCCACGTTTGCTAGAGTAGCAGGTTAATAAAAGCAGACAAACAAATGTGGGGCAACACATCGTAGGGGGGGAAAGGGGTTTGGGTTTGATTGACAGCCTGGGGATTTCTCCTGTGTGAGGTATGCATGTTCGATGTCTAATTGCACCTGAAAAGCCTTCTGGGAGTCAGATCCTTCATCAGGCAACAGTACGGAGAGGAGAAGCCCTGTGTGATAAATTCTAGTATACTGCACACATTTATAATTGGCTTTGCTCAAGACGCCTGCAAAGCACATAAGTTTTCTCATTTTCACAGTGATGCATTATTCTTGAATAATATTTTCATGCACAAACCACATCAGTGGTTTGTTTCCATTGATTACAGCTCTCCCAGCTGCTCCAGAGGATGAACTGTTTTTGCCTGTGGAGGATTAAGGAACATAATGAAGGCTCAAAACGATCACTTAAACCCCTCTGTCTCCCTACGCTAACAATGCTAATCCTTTTTTTCCTCTTCCCTCCAGGGGATATATGTTTGCAGGCCTGGAGTTTGGCGCAGAGTGCTATTGTGGTCATAAGATCCAGGCGCCCAATGCTTCAGACAGCGAATGCAACATGGAGTGCAAAGGAGAGAAGAGCAACGTGTGCGGAGGGCCCAACAGACTGTCCATCTATAGGCTGGAGCTGAGTCAGGAGTCAGCGCGCCGCTGTAAGTCTGGCATCAGCATATCCAATAACACAACACGTCAAGTGTTTACTACTGCTGATATAAATACTCTATATCAACACTGACAGGTTCACAGTCTAAAATAAATGTGAAATGAATCCCTTAAATGGAACCTTCAAAAAGTTTAATTTCATTATAGATTTGCCATAAAAATTGAATTTGATATTTGAAAATAAAATATTAAACTTGGGTCCCTTTTCTAAGATGGATCTGATTAGATATGAGTGTCCTGAGAGTCTGTACTTAGGCACAAAGATGTAATTTTGATTCAGGAGTGTAACACCCACGGCTACTTTGAGGGAAAAGATTTGTTTTATTGCCACAGTCGGGAGCAGGCTGCTCTGTTGTGTTTACCTCTTTCCCCGGGGAGCTGCTCTACCTACACAGCCCAGCCGCCTGTGGTCTTCATCCTAAACACCGACTGCCTGCCAGTGGAAAACTTCAGTCTTGGGAGAAAGAGCTGATTATCAGGAGTTGTAATGATCTTATAGTACAGAATATGCCTAATTTTTTTGATTCCCTGCTGGATCACTTACAAACTAATGAACAGTCTTTATTTCGTATGCTAGTTGAATTTTAATTGAGAGAGACAGAATATGAACCAAACATCCAGAAAAATCTTTCCTTTGTAACAAATTCAGCAGGGTGTCTAAAAATTATTTCTCCTGCTATACCTGTTATAAAACTGTGGCTTGCTTTGTTGCTGGAACTTTTTTCTTTATAATCTAAAAAAGTCCCGAACACATGGTGGGGTGACTCTACCCACCCTTTCCTTTTTGCATTCACTCTTCCTTTTTCTCTTTCTTGGCTCCTGCTTCTTGGAAATACTGTGAGATCAGAGAGAGTTACCATGCAGATATGTGGTGAATATTTTCATAGCTCAACTGCTCTCTCCAGAGGTGTGCACTACAAAGCAAGATTATTGGGTTAGGGCGGTATTTCAAGCTTAAAGTCAAGGTTCTCATTGTGACGAAGGTGGCTGTACCATGGTACATTCAGCTTTATGCTGAACAGATAACCTGGTGCACAGCAGGTTATAATCACAACATGCTCCAAGTCCTGAAGGAAAACATTTTATAGATGCAACCTAATAAAAATGTTGGCACAGCTGAAGGAACCTGCTAAAAGACTGCAGTACAAAAATCACCATATATGGTCACAGTTCAGTAGATCATGCATAAAATGAATACTTTTATACTCGATCCTAGACCTGATTTTACTCTGCTGAAACCATGGCTGCTAAACAAAGATTAGGACTTTGACCAGTCTGTGATAAATCAGTTGAAATAATTGGACACACTCTAATGTAATTTCCACATTCCTGTTTTGGGGTATGGGCCACTGTAAAACCTGAATGCCCCCAGGCCTTCCTTTTGCTGTTTCATTGTTACAGCCCGTTCTTTTTCAATCTCTATCACCTGCTCTCCTCATAATGTCTCTGACTGAAGCAGGCGGCACTCAAATGATCAATTCTGAGCGGACGAAAAGTCTAATAATGCGTCCGAATCCTTCTTTTATGTGAGAAGCGGGAAGCCTGGATTAACAGAGACAGTTGATAGCAACCGTGGCGATATCCGTTATCTCTGACTGGGGGTTTGAGAAATTGTTGAGCCACCTGACACAAAGAAAGTTTGGCTATGCTGAACCTGCTTCACAGTGCACCCCTCTGTTCCTCTGCTGTTTGTTTGTTATTATTCTCATTTCTGCTTTTAATCCTTCTATCTAACTGCTGCGCAAGCATTTCATGTCGGCATTTTCACCTCTAACCCCGATCTCATGTCATGTGAGGGCTGCTCAGAACATCAAAGAGGAAATGGAGGAAATGTGATGTGCTAGCTGTTTTGCAAGCTTTGCCAAGTAAATCCCAGCTCTTAAAAGCTATAATAACTGAGCACAGATGCATCGTTGATGCACTCTTTGTTATTGAGACCTCATTTTCTGTGATAGCTGGATGGATTTATAGCTGCAGCATGTTAAAACACAGAAAGGTAACACAAACAGGATCCGTGGAGAGAACGTGGCATTAAAAATGCAACTTTAAGTCAGAGAACAAGGTTGAAAATAAATAAAACATTTAACACACACACACACAGCACTAGAACTAATTTATAAAGGGGATATTCTCTTTTTTTTAAAGTCTGACACCACTGATCACTAATACTTCCTGTAAAGGAAAGGAGAGAGTGCTCAATAGTCTTGTTTACTCGTAGTGACACTATAAACTTTGAGAGGAAGGAATACCAAAGAGACGAAGCTCCATTTGCATATCTTACTTGGCTACGTCTGAGCAAGCAAGCTGTCTTCATCACACTGTCTGTCACAGTGAAAAGCAGCGCTTGTTTGCTTTCTCTCCTCTGTCATTAATTCTTAACAGTTTGTTGACAACAGAGACATTTTCGTAAGTACTCTATACTGGCGCTGCTGACAGGTTGACAGCCTGCAATAAATGTGAAATGGATGTTTAGATTTCCTTTAGCAGTGACTTAAATCTGGGTGTCACCCTTTAAAGTTGTGGTGCAGTGCGAGAAACATTTCCATTGTGAATAAAAACGAATTTATCTTTTCAGTTAGGTTCAGCAGGCTGGAAAAAAAAGGTCAATAACAAATTAAAATAAGGTTAAAAAAAAGACCTGCAAATGAAGGAGAAGAGCAGCTTTTGCGATGTGTTGTCTTCACCAACGTCAGACCACAGAGAAGATTGGAGGTTGCAAGTCATCCCAGGGACACGAGTGCTGCTGTTAGTTTAGGGTCTCTGTGTTCTTTCGTGTTGGTAAGTGACAGTCTGGCTTGTTTTGTCTGTTTCAGATGGCAGTGCCATTTTCAAAGGGTGTTTCCACCAGCCAGACAATGTCACACTGGCTCTCCCCTTCAGCGCGGTCATCCAGAACATGTCTGTGGATAAGTGCGTGGACATGTGCACAGAGAGGGTGAGTGGATGTTGGGGATTTGTACGCTGCGCGAGTGTGTCTTCAGTGTATAATGGCTGTTGTGTTCCAGGAGAAATCGCTGGCTGTGCTCGCAGGAGATCGATGCTACTGCGGATTCCCAACGCCCCTCTTCTCCCTGCATGAGCTGGAGGACGAGGGCATGTGTCTCAATCGGTGCCAAGGGGAAGAGTTTGAAAGCTGTGGAAACGACAAGTACTTTGTCGTCTACCAGACACAGGTTCAAGGTAAATTTAAGTGTTTCCTGGCAGCGGCTGAAAAGCCACACATGTGTTGAAGTTGGTCACATTCTGTTGGTGGGAAGTCCAAGTCAGACGCTGAGGTTTAGCACATTCAATTTAAAGTATGATAACACATGTGGTATTCAAGTGCAAAGTGTCAGCATGAGCCGGAACTTTGTCTAACTTACATGTCGTGCAAAGTTTGCAAAATGATTTTGGCACTGACTGTTCAACCCTGAGCTGTAGATGATTCCACGTATGAGATGCATGAATCTGTGGTGGATTAAAGATGTGATCATGCAGTGAAGAAGATCATTTCAAAAATCACAGAATTTAAAAATCAACAGTTCTTCTCCTGCAGCTTTGCCACATCTGTTCTTAGCCCCTTCAACCAGACATGCATCTTACACTCTAATATTAAGTTAGTGCTGTTTTGGGCCTAGCATGGAATTCAACTCAACTCATATTTATGTATTTACTGGCTCCACAGTTGCTTACTTTCTATGTTGACTGCATTGCTGATTATAGCAGTCTGTGATGTGAAATAAAAAAAAGTTGTGGTTGTCTCACACATCTGGACTACTCACTGGCCTTCTAGCTTCTACTACTTGCATGTGCCTCTCATTTAGATAAGATGCCAACTTCTGTGTTGAGCTGCCCAGAATTCACAATGGTGATCATCACTTGTGATGAGAATGGGATCTATAGATCAGATCCAGATCTGTCAATTGGACGCAGCAGAATCCCAGCAGTGATAGGGATTAGGGAAAAACCCCTCGGAATCTAGATGCTGGTGATGGAGATGAAGATGGAGGCTTGGATGGAGCCTGACATGGGAGAGGGGAGGAAGCTGGTTGCATGAAGGCATCTGGAAAGGAAAATGAAAAATCCGCAGTGATATTTAAAGTACATGGAGTAGCGGCTGATTGGCCTGAAGAAGGCAGGCAGAAGGACAATTGGACTTGTGATCTTGCAAAGAGCTTGACAGTGTGGGAAAGGGGAACTGATGCAAAGCTTAGATAAGTTACCAAACATCCGAGAAGCAGACAGATGTTTGAATACAGATCTTTCTTATTAAACGTGTGTGTAAGCTTCATTTAGACAAGTTCATGTTTTTAAATTTTGTAGGCAAAGTCCTGAAACTTCACTCTTGAAGCTGCTACTCGTCTAAAATGACGTCTGATTGGTTGAAGTGCCTCTTGAAAACAGAGCCCAGAGGAGGTGCAGGAGTGTAGTTCCCTCTTAGACCACTTGAATTACAACGTGCCAAAAGGTTATCGTGGATTTTTGTCAACTGACATGAAAACTATATCAACTGCGCTAGTATCAATTATTTAATTCCTCTGCTAAGCTAATTCTGAGCTGCAGGTACATTTTGAGTACCTCCACACTATCCAAAAGCTATCAGCCCGGTTTTTAGGAAACTTCATGGAGTAGTTGGGCTAAAGGAAGAGATAATTGACTTCAGAACCACATAAAGAGAAATGGATAAAGAGGTGGGATTCATTTGTATAGATGTCAGCTTTGCACTCTCACATTCAGGTACAGACGAGACCACCAAGACTAATTTGGAGGAGGTGGCTTTACTTGTACTTCCAAAGGAACTCCATAGTGGTTTGTTTATGGTGGGAGCATGATCCAGCCCAGAGGCTAAGAGGTGTGTGCTGACAGTCTGAATAAACACGCCTTCCCATTGCCAAGCACACTTTGCATTCAGGGAGAATGCAGTGTGCACAGTTTTTAGCAAACTGAAGTGAGGGAAACAGATATATAAATACAAATGTTAGGAGTAAATGTGTTGTCTGTGCTTCTTCTCCAGACACATGTGCTCAGTAAGCAGACTGATTGTTCTGGTGTGGTTTGCAGTGACGCACTTTGGTCCACTTGGAGAGTTCCCTGTTTGACCAGAAACCAAATATTGGGGAAAAGCTGCAATTTATGCAAACTCATTGACTAAAGAGCAGTGAACTAATGTTACGAGTCCTAGGACTAGTTGTACCAAAGTAACAAGTGGTTGGTTGGTTATAAACATGACTTATAAACCCTGTTATAAATTTCCACATGTTCCTTTGTTCTAGTGTCCAGCGTTGGCTATACTTACTTTATGTCAACAACAGACGTAACTCGTGCTCAGTTTCAAACTGTATAAACCAAATCAACACTGAGATTCATTCAGGAGGCTTCACTTTCAACCAGTTAATATTTCAGGTATCTCACAGCATAAATCACAGCCTCAGAGTTACTTTTAAATAACTATGATTGTTCTCATTTGAGCTCACAACATCAAATGAATTACAAACTAAAAAAACCTCCAGCGTCACACTTTAAACCTTAACCCAGTCACAGCGTTAACACTATCGGCACTGTGCCATATGCCAAGGGTTCAGCGCCGCAGTATTGAAAATAAATACACGCAATCACACACACAGATTATCGGTACATTATGAAGCTTAAAAAAGCGTTGTTTGTAACATAGCTCCTGCCTTTTTTTTTCTTAAGATGCCATGGCAACAGACTAAACTAAGATAAACAGCCGTGTCCCTAAAAAGACTCATTACACTAGTGCTAAAAGGTTGTGTGTGCGTGTGTGTGTGTATGGTTTCCTGGTATACCAACCTGAAAAACACACAGGAATGAAGACATGAACCACTTATTCATATGGAGTGGGCAGGGTCCCTACCTTAGGAAACCCAGATGCAATACACCAAAGCACTTTGGCTCCAATTTAATTAGTTTCTTTCTGAATTTCTGTCATGAAGGAAAAATAATAACCTTCTGTTTGCACAACAGGTATAATTATCCCACTGTGGCTCCTTTTTTCCTAATACTGAGATATTTTGCTTGTTATGAGCTGGAAAAACTAAAAATAAATACAAAGCTTAAAACCACAACATGTGAACAATTTTGGGAATAAACAGAAATAAAAAAAAGTCTCAGCATTTTGTGTGCGCACAAACAGGATGCAAGTGTGAAAACACCCGAGTGTGTCCACACAGTTTAAGCAGGAGCAGAGGGCACTAAGAAAAAAAATGGCTGTGATATTATTGTCTGGAGTCTGCAGACATGCACACGAACAGCAAAGGGATGGGTCACATATGAGGAAGTCACACTTCTGAGTGCTTCTGCCTGACACCCCCCACACACACACACACACACACGCACACACATGCACTAAATTCTTATTTTCGTGCCATTATGCACACTCGATGTTGCAAATCATCCGAACACTATTTATTCATTTTTATTTGTTTTTTTCCTTTTTTGTAAATTTGCACATTTTTAAATAGTTTATGCTCTAAAACGTTTACTTAAAACAATATCATCACGAATGTTCTTGGATTTGACTGTAAAATCTTGGGTTCCAGACGCACGCATGCTTATCGCTGTATTTCTTGTTATTCCAAATATTGTTATGAAACTCAAAAATCCAGAATAGGTCTGTCTTCAGTCCAGGCGTTGTTGTGGGCTGTGTTTCCTTAACGCAGTGGACAGATGTGGCTTGGATCAGCAGAGTCACATTGCAGTAAACAGAAATGGAGGTTGCTGTGAACAAACAAAACAAAAATCAGCTGCTGTGGGAAATGAACTTCATGTGATCATTCTTGGCAAGCTGAACCCAGAAAAGGGAACCTGTCAGAGGTCTGAATGTGTTAGCTTTAAATCTGGTTTCAGTTGGAAAAAACGATTGTTTACCACACCACATGGTTTTGGCCCAATGCTACACCCTACTAGGGAAGCAGTAGTGCTGTGAAGCTGAGATGTTGTTGTCTGCTTTGTGACCTCTTGCAGTCAGTTGCTTTGTTCACAGAGTGTCTGAGAGAGATTGCAGTTGGTCTGGATCATGAATATTTGGAGACAGGTTGCATCCTGTTGCAAGTTTTAAGGAGATTGTTTTTACACTTGCATGACTGAGACATAACTCAAGAATTCAAACCCTAATTATTACAAATCGAACACAAATGTTGTATATCTAAAAGGTGTAATAGTTTGGATGGAAACAGACAGGTCAACTTGAGTTGTTGGGAGACTGTTTGAAGTTATTAGGTGATATTTTGTGAAGAAAAATATAATAAAACAAGCCCGCCTTGACATTTTTTCTTTCTATAATAATCATCCAAAGTTGAAACTTAATAATTCTGTGTCTGTTATTACAAAACTGTGTAAATACGCAGGAAGTGACTGATTTTCAGTATTAATTTTAAACTTTGAGGTTCATTTAATCGGCTGATCTTTGTCCACTGTCAGATAATCGGTGCATGGACCGGCACTTCCTTCCCACTCGTGCTAAGCAGCTGGTGGCCCTCGCCAGTTTCCCTGGAGCTGGTAACACCTGGGCTCGCCACCTTATAGAGCTCGCCACTGGCTTCTACACCGGCAGCTATTACTTTGATGGCTCCCTGTACAATAAAGGTATGCCTCGGCATGTTTTTGACACAATTCACAGGCGCTCAGCCATGAATGCACCACCGTGGATGCTATAAAGTCACTCTGGGCTGTTTCACAGGATTTAAAGGGGAGCGCGACCACTGGCGGAGTGGGAGGACAATATGCATTAAGACACATGAGAGCGGCAGGAAAGAAATCGAAGCCTTCGACTCCAGCATCCTCATGATACGAAACCCCTACAAAGCCTTGATGGCAGAATTTAACCGGAAATATGGTGGACATATTGGATTTGCTTCCCAGGCCCACTGGAGAGGGAAAGGTAAGCAGCTGAAATCTCTGGATCAGTGAATATTATTTTGCACGGAAGTCTCTCCGTCATCGTACTATGAAGAAAATGAAAATAAAAGACTTCATTAAACTGAGGCACTGAGGGCATATTTCATTTTTTGTGCTGATAACATTGTGGTGAACAAAGTTTGAGTAAAGCTTCACAATAAGTAGAAACTGAAACACTGCAAAATGAGAGAAAAACAAAAGAACTGAGAAACTGTGATATAGAAGGGCAAAGGATTGAGGAAATGCAATCAAACTCTGGCCTTTTTTAGCGGTTTGACCTGCACCAGTGTGGCTGAGCGCAACATTTTGTCTTTTGAAAATCATTTACACCATTTAGCCACAGCATCAGCAGTCAGATAAATTAGAAGTGTTTATGACAAGACTGATTCAGATCTTCATTCTAGGTTTAAAGTGGGAAATATATGTATACATGATCTGAACACTTAGCAGCTTACTTTGTTTCCTTCTTTATGCTGTTAGCTGCAGATGTTATCAGTCAGAAAACGAATACACAGTTTAAAAAGCTGGTGAAATGTCTTCCATCCAGGAAGTCACAGTTTAGTCATGTTTAATTCCTCTTTTGTCCACTTGATGCTTAAAATAATGGATTAAGTTCATTTTTCATTAATAACTATGTCTAAAATATAGAGATGTCTTTATATTTCAGGCAAATTTTGCTCTTCCTATTGCATTCTTCATGTCTTAGTAACCGTGGCAACCGCTTTTGTCTCGTCCCTGTATCGTCTGTCTGACTTTATGCGAGGTTTCATCGATTTTTTTCCCCAGAGGCTGGAGAGTTGCCGACCCAGCAGTTGTCTCTCTTTGTGGAAACTTCAGCACATTTGGCCTGCCATTTCCAATGAGTGTTTATTCCCTCTGTTGTTTGGAAAATGATGCGGTGACATCACTAAAGAGAAAGGCTTTCTGACAGCTGCCACTTCGAATAGACGGAGAGCGGGTCAGCGTGACATTGTGCGCAGGGCCCCACATGTACGATTTGATGCATTCACCTCCGCAGAGGGAGACTGTGGGGCACAGATGATGTTACAGACACTGATGCCTTCCAGCGTGGCCCCATAATGTCAGCTCAGGGGCAAGTGCAACTTATTTTGGAGGTCATGCCATTTTAGAAAGCACAGTGAGTTATTTTCCACTGTTATCTCGTAGATTTAGAAGCTATACAGATGCCTTTTTTGGGGTAATCTGTCAAAAAGATACTGTCTGTGTCTTCACTCTGAAATGAGCAGAACAGGATTTTGGAGAAAAAGTTAAAATACTTTGATGTTTTTTATTGTAACTTCTGTATTTGCAGCTTCTTGGCATTTCTGCACTGCTGGTTGTGTTTTTGGGGGAAATTTCTGATATTCTGTCCACTCTGGCACTAAAGTTGCCTCTATGATTGGTTTCTGAGACATTGCAAACTCAGCAGACTTTAAACTTTATCGACACCCTCTCCCAGCAGTAAAGATTTGTCCTTATGCAGCACAGCTCCTGCCAGCTCCCACTTTTTATGGGCCACTAGATGAAGCTGAAAGAAAAGGTTTTCTCACAGCAGCTCTGCAGTTTGAATGACAACCAAAAATGTCCGGACATTTCAGAAATTACTTAATGTGTCCTCCCTGCCTCTGGAGTTGAATGACATCAGTGCTAACACAGCTAACACAGCTCTCACTTCCTCTTAACTCTATGCCCACGCTGACACTTTGACTTTTTTGTACCGAAGTTCATTTTACCGAGAACTTACATTTTATTCGAACAGACAAAACGTACATGCACTTGCAATATGAGCTCTTTGACAATTATGACTTAATAACCTTTGGTAACCGCTTCTTCGTCTAAGCTGAAATCTCAAAGTGCAAATTTTCTGGTGTTAATGGAGACGGCTCAGTTCTGTTATTTCTTTTTTATTATCTTTCTTTCACTTACACTTTTGGTTTACAGTTGTTTCATCATTGTCAAGCAAAAGTCTTGAGCCACCCTTTCTGGTGTTTTTTGAAGTGCTCTTGAGCACTTTGAAGTGGCTTTCTGAAGGTCTTTCAAGGTTTTGCTTTGGAAATCGGCTGCCCCGTCACTTCTTTTTAATTGCAGTCTGCTATAGCAGTGCTTTTTTGTAAGTTGACCTATGAGTCATTCAAGCATAAAGGCAACAACTCAAAGGATGAACCAGTGTGTGTCAACACATAACAGACAAACTTAGCAAAGAACCAATTTTAAATTGTATCTTTAGGCACTTTGTACTAGCATGCTGACACAAAAATTCATACGTTATTCCCATTTCTTTATTTGAATCTATGAAAAATGCCAAACATAACACAGTTAATTAGGATAAAATAATATTTTTGCAAGAGCAAAGAGCTATTAGCCAAAACTGGGTATATCGCAGCATGGTGTGCCGTGTGTCTTTTAAAAACAGAAAAATTAGGAAATTGAAGAAGTGGAGGTCAAAAGAAGAAGTGTCAGGCCTGAAAAAACTACAGCAGATAAACAATATCTGAAAGTCATTTTCTTAAAATACAGGAAAAAATCCAACAAAGACCTGACACAAGACGCCAGAGGTGATCCATCTGCTGTTCACAGGGTGGCTGTAGATGTTCTTCCTGCTATATTTCAGTCTGTACTGTAGAATGCCCTTTAACTTGTGCATTGGTACCCAAAACCCTCATTTATTTATGTTCTATGGCCTCTTTGTCCTGCAGAGTGGCCCGAGTTTGTCAAGAACTATGCCCCTTGGTGGGCGTCCCACACGCTGGACTGGCTGCACTATGGGAGGAACGTCCACGTGGTCCACTTTGAGGATCTGAAGAGGGACCTGTTCACCAAGCTCAAAGGAATGGTCGAGTTTCTGGGTTTGAAGGTTTCTGAGGATCGCCTGCTCTGCGTCGAGGGCCAGAAGGACGGGAACTTCAAGCGGTCGGGGCTACGTAAGCTCGAGTACGACCCGTATACTCCTGAAATGCGTTCAAACATCAATGAACTGATCAGAACAGTAGACGCTGCTTTGAAGAAAAGAAACATGTCTGGGGTTCCAGAGGAATATATGCCAAGATGATAAATGTGAAGACCTCTGTTTTCCTTTTTATTTTGTTAGTTTTCCTTTTTATTCCTGCACATCTTGTAGAATTTCATGAGATAAATCGATTTTTTATCGTGTTAAATGTCTGTTAAGTCATGTAGATGGACACCTATTTCATTTTTTCAGTCATCTGTTTCTTTTTTAAACGAAACTAAATCAGCTTCATGCATTCATGGAGTAGACGTGACAGTTTTAGCAGGCAAGGTTTGTGTTTCTCTCATTTGCTGAATGAAAAGCACTCCTTATCCTGCTCTATGCACATGTGCTGTGTAGGCATGTGCACATGCCTTAACACAAAGAAGCTACAGTAGCTGTGACTACAGAGGGGCTCATCTGACTGTGCTGACAAAAGATACGATACAACACTGCAAAGTGTGTTCAGTGAGCTTATTTTGTGCAAAAGAAAAGTCAAAACATTAATTTTCCTGCTGCTATTACAGTTACAGAACTATTTTATATAAGAAGCTCACTGAAAGCTGTATCTCTTTGTTAGGGGGGAAAATGCAATATGCAGGGTATAACTACCTGATGGTGATGATACTGTGTGTTTCCAAGATTTTGTAAGGTGTTTAATTCACTGTATGTACGAGAAATCAGAAGGTTATTCAAGAAGCTGAGTTATCCCTTTCGAAGAGACTGACTCGAGGAGAGAAGAGGATTAATGTCTGCAGCATTTATTTATCTCCCGTGAGCAGCGCACACGTTGATTCATTTGGCTGTGAATATGTTTTCTTAACACTGGACTCGATGCAGAAATCCAAAAAGCACTTCGGTGTGCAACACCTTCCCCAAAGATCACTGAGGAATTAGGCATTACACTCGTGTAATAGACTGGAGTTTACCTTATAAGTAGTGACTGTTGTAGAGGTTTATTTATGAGAGCTAATCATACTGAATGTGAAAACTGTCTTTTTTCTTTTTTTTCACTGCTTTGTTGTAAGAAAAGCTTTGAAACTGTTAAAGCTCGTAATCATTTTCCTATTCCTTGTTGAACAAACAAAAAAACTCCAGCAAACTTTTGTGCAGCACGTCTTAAAACGGCGCTCGATCTCCTCTGCCGCTTAAACACAAACAAATACACAGATTGATAAATCCAAGGATAAAAAAACAACAACAGCACCGGTGATTGAGAGCCAGACAGCATTAACTGACTTCCATTTTCAGTATAATAAAACTATATTTTTATAGTGTATGCTGACACGTTCAAAATATTTGTATTGCAACAGGCAAACGGGAGAGGTTGTTTCTATTTTTAACACATGCTTTAAACTTTATTGGCTCTTTGCATTTATTGACAAGCCGGCACTTATTGAACAGGTGTCACATTTGAATGTATTTTCTATGGAATGAATGTAATGTAATATGGCCCAATAAATGAGTGAATCCAAGGAGTGACTCATGTCTGAATTTTTAGAAATCTGCTACGATCTGCAGTAGTCTTAAACATTTTTATTAATATATCACATACCATATCACAATAGCGATCTGCCTGTGACTACAGGTAAGAGAAAAAGTGTTTTCCTGCTGTGACCCTTAGGCGCTCTGTAGTTTTATGGTTCAGTGTGCACAACAAGGCTTTCCTGTAAACCTCTGAGAGCGCAGCCAAGAGAAAAACAAGACTAAGCACTGACAAGCGTTCTGCTTCGTTACCTAAAGCTATAAATACTAATGTCGTGTGCTGCTAACATGCACGTGCTAATTTCTTTTAGCAGGTTAAATATCAAAACAGGCATATGAAAGACAAACATTGGAGACAGATTTGCCTTCAGAAGAGCTCAACAAGGGGCTGGAAACATTCTTTAAAGATTTCGGTCCATATTAGCATCACACTGCACATCCATGATGTGAATCTCCGGCTCCACCTTATCTCTATTGGTTTGAGAGCTGGTGACTGTGGAGGCCAGCACAGTAAACTCACTGTGATGCTAAAGAAACCTGTTCGAGATGGCTTGGGTTTTGCGGTGTGGTGTGTTATCCTGCTGGAAGTAGGATAGAAGATAAGTACACTGTGGTCATAAAGGGGACATGCTCAGTGACAACATTCAGGAAGGCTGTGGTGATCAAACAATGCTCAGCTCGTCCAAAGTGTGCCAGGAAAGTATCCCCCACACCATTACACCACCAGCAGCCTCAACTATTGATAAAGGATGGGATGCCAGTTTCTAAGGAAGAGCAGCTGGTTTGCACAATGTCTACATGCATAAATGCGCATTAATGAGCAGTTGAACAGACCTACCTAATGATGTGGCCAGTGAGGACGCAATAACATTCAAACTGTGTTTATAAATTAAAATAGTACAAAATGAATATAATACCAGTGAAAACTCATTTAGCCCATTTAGAATGTGAAACCAGAAACACAGCTGAAGAAAGTTTGAACAGAGATCTTTTTCTCTCTTTTTAGCAACACGCTGTACATGTTAGAGAACTGAGAAAACAACCTGCTGCAACATAGAAAGCAAACAGTTTCCCAATTCTTGCTTGATCCAGGAATGCACCTTGCAAACCAACCTTCTCTCTTTCTTTTTTTCTAGCAGGAAAGAGGGTTATGTAAAAATGTAGGTTATTCTTAGGAGGCTAAACACTGTCTTATTTTAAACTTTGCTGTAGTAAAAGTGTGTTGTTATGTATGTTTCTCCTGCAGAGTTGTGTCTTTTCACTCTTTGAGGATTCATTCTCCACCATGAATGTAGTTTGTAGCACTTCCAGGGCTTCATTTTTCATCCCTTTAGAGGTTGCCGTCTGTGTTTACCGTGTTCACCACCTTATAATAACATGACAGCACGCCTATTTCGGCCTCCTGTGATTCTGACCCTGTAATTTGGTGATTTAGTCCTTTTCTGTTTAATGATCAGCTCCTGGGTCTTGTTGTGTTTCCTTTCTGTTAAAGATAATAGCAACCTAACCGTCTCTTTCAGTTTAATTAGTAATAAAAACATTAATAAAAACCTTTGATTTAACTATTTTTCATTTCTTTTTTTTCTCGAATGCTTTTTGTTACTTTTCCAGATCCCTTGGACCTTTTAGTGAAACTTAATTAGCAGTAATTATTGAGTCTGACTAGCAAAGTTTTGGACAAAATAAAAATCAAACAAAATGAAGAGTTTGAGTATTTTTAATTGAGTTTGAGAACTAACTCAATTATCTTTAAATATTTGTACAAAAAAAATTAATGGCAGCTTCTAGAGGTCCAAGATGAAAATTCTTTATCTTTTGGCTGCGCCCTTTCTCCATCTCATCCGATCCCTACACTGCTCTACACCACTACATCCATGAATTTTCTCCATGGTCTTGCCCTTTTACTCCGGCCTCACAGCTCTATATTCAACATCCTTTGTCCTACATATATATCCACTACCCCCCCTCATTTACCCAAGCTTGGGACCAGCACTAGGAGTACCTGGGCCTGTTGCCCTCGGTGGTTGGGTTGTCTAAGAGGAAAAGTGAGCGTAATGAAAAAGTCATGAGAATTTACCTGAGGCTTGTGGATATCTGTGCTGAAATTATTGGCAGTCTATTAGAAAAAGCCAAAATGTTGACCTCCTACTGGCTGGAGGAAAATTGAAGGGATTACCAAAGATATCAGGATTCATCCTCTGTGACCTCTGCCAGACGGATGTAAGCGAGATATTTCTTGTCTTGTCTTTCTCTTCCCAACCAAAAACCAAACAGCATTTATACTACAGCTGTCCAGTTTTGGGTGAAAGGCATCACGAAACGCATTATATATTTCTGAAATGCTGTAATATAATAGATTACTGTACAGTTACAACTATCAGATAGTCAACTACAGCTAGTTATCTGGATGATCTCTGATTAGAGAGAAAGAAAATCATCCATTGTGCCTTTTTCCTGCAAGCAAGTTCCAATGAGCTAATGTCAGTTGTGCTGGGAAGAAATAGACCACTCTGCAACATAAGCGCCTTGAGGCGACTTATGTTGTGATTTGGCGCTATATAAATAAAATTGAATTGAATTGAATTGAATTGCATCTTTCCATGAGTGGAGATGTGAACTATACTTTTATTTTTACTGCACCAAAGAGAAATAACATGATGGTAAAGATCAAACCGTATCCAGGACAGAAACATCTATCCAGTGCCGCTGAAATGACCCTTTGAAGCATCTGCACAGACAGCATGCTAACACAAAGCTCGAAGGCAAGAACCCAGAGTGATGTTAAGGCTGAGTGTAAGCCAACCGCAGCCCGGCAGCTTGAGCCTGATCTTCATCATGTAACCAAAGCAGGGATGACATGCAGGCTTGTGATGTTGTAGCCTCTGTTGCTATTCTTGCATGTTTCTCTATGTGTTTTAGGTAGTGGCTGCTGTGGGAACTGGTGCAGTGAAGCTGCGTCCTCAGCACTGAAGCTAAATAAGAGCTGTATAAAGTGTACATTGGTTGTCCCAGGGAGATAGCTGAGGTTCCTGGACGTTACTGTAGCCACCACACTCAGACCAGACACTGTCCAGTTATCCAGAAAGTTGAAAGAAGTTAGTGTGTTATGCTGGAGCTGACAGTCCCGTGGGAAGACCAGTTAGAGTACAGTAAGCTCAGGAAAGAAAGATATGGACCTAGTTGCCAGCTGTCAGAGGCAGAGGTGGAAGGTGTGAGGTGAGAGGTGAGAGGGGTGAAAGTCTTTGCAGGCCAGTCTCTACACTGAGTCATACGGCTGTTGGGGATATGGAGACTCCAAATGAGTAAAACTGTCAAAAAATCTTGGAAGCAGCATAGAAGCTGGCTTTGGCTGAAGAAGGGTGATACATATCAGAGGATCCCTGGATACAAGCCGGGGCCTGGCATACCCCGGCTGGGTCATCTGGGAAAGGCTGTCTGTAACAGCCGATAGGCCAGTGTAGATCACTGAAGATATGTCTAGCATGCAGCAAAAAGTGTATGCTTGAACAACAAAATTAAATAAATAAATAAATAAATAAATAAATAAATAAATAAATGATGCAGAACTCCAAAAGCATAATCATAATCAAAAAAGCGTACAAGCTAGACGCCAGAGAAGAAAGACGAATTAAACATCAATGGTAAAACTGTATAGTGGCATATATTTTCTGTAAAAGTTGACACTAAAGACAACACTGCATCTGTGCCTCATTTTTTTTCACATCACCCACAAACATTTCCTGGAGAAACCAATGATGTTCCTACACCAAGCCACAGCTTGGTGTCAAGGTACATTTACACATACACTGTCTGACAGTACCTTAGTCACTTTTATGAAAACCACATTTGCAAAATATCTTGATGATCAAAGCTTCATGAGATTTACAGGCAAAGCAAAGGCATCATATAGTCATTTAATAGTTAATAACAGGTTAATGACAGGCTCAGTGTGTGTTGCCTATCAATGATATGTCAAAAAAGTGTGTCCCTATTATGATTGGTTTGTAGCCTGAGGTTTGTATTAACTTGTAATTATGTTACCATGCATTTCAGGCCACAGAGTAACCAAAAAGTCACGTAATCAGCAGTAATTGCACATGACAAATTGCTTAGTTTTTGAGTAATGACCCTAATACTTACTTATGGTTTTTGTCAGGTTTGCCAGCATTTCCTCCAGCATGATCTAGATCACATTTAAAGTCATAGTAGAATACTTACCAGTAACTATGTGTGTTGGTTTTAAAACAGGACTGATTGTGGTGACTGTAAACAGAAACCATCCAGTGTCTTCTGACACAGTTTGTAGAACTCCTGACTTTAAGCAAACTCTTTCACATTATACGTGGGCAGGTTACAAACACAGTTCAGCTTTAAAGGTTAAATCTCTGACCAACATTTCATTGTTACTCATTGACAGGGTTTCAGGTAATCTGTGCTTTAAGGGTTTCCCCACAGCCCTACACTGTTTCAACATTTTAAAAAATTACTAAAACTCAATTCCTCTCATGCTTCCTGTTAAGTTGTGAATCTTCTTGCAGAGTGGGAAATAATTATTTGATCCCCTTCTGAATCCTCAGTCTCAGATATTTCATCTGAAGTAGTTTCATTTTTGCAGTGAGTCATACATAAAAGTCATAAACTGAGTTGTGTGTCACTGAGTGAATGATGTATTTGGACCCCACACTGACTCATTACTTGGTGGAGAAACCCGTGTCAACAACCACAGCAGTAAAACGCTTCTTGTAGTTGTTCACTAGAGTCTCACACACTCGAAGCTTCAGCTCCCACCACAAATTTTCAAAAACACTAAGGTCTGAAGACTGGCTAGACCACTCCATCACCTTAATGTGCTTCTTCTTTAGCCATTCCTTTGTGGACTTGGTGGTATGTTTTGGGTTATTGTCCTGCTGAAGGACCCATCCATGACCCCTCTTCAGTGTGTCCTGTAGCTTGACTGTGGGAACATGCCTACAGGGGGATTGCGGATGCT